ACAGAGCCCAGGGGCTGGAGAAGAGCCAGGGATGGGGCTGACTTAATTAAATAGGGGCAGGGAAGGAGCCTGGTTAGGAGTGACCTTCCCAAGCACCCTACCTCTCACTCCTCCTGCTTCCTCAGAGCTGTTTTTCTAGACCCATGGTATCCAAATGAGGAGCAAATGGGGAGCTGCGAGGGGCTCTGCCAAGAGAGTCCTGCACCACATGGGCCACAGCCCTGACTCAAATGGTAGGCCAAGAATCAGAGGGTGCAAACAGAGACCTGATCCAGCAACAAACTGTTCTCTAAAGGAGACCCCCCTATCCTAGGAACCCAAAGGGCTGGATCCAAGACTTGGCACATTTGGGACAATTTGGAGTTAAGGGCAGAGGTCTCCAGTACCATTTGCTATTTTTGTTTTGTTTAATAAACGTTCTCTCCTCTCACTATATACTTCTGTGCCAGTTCTCCCTGCCAGGATTAGATTTTCCCTTTTCACTGCCTATTTAAGCTCAGTTTAGCTCCATCGCCCTCCTCCATGAGGTCTCCCTGGCATTACCTGTTCTCCTAATCTCTGCTATATTCCCCTGTGAAACTAGTCCCATTTTGAGAGCAAGGACTGTGACATGAATAGTACTGACCAAATGAATTACAAAATAACATCTAATCCCCCGAAGCAGTTAAATTTTGCAACTGGAACCTATAGTAAGAACTATATTTTACAGCATGTCCTAGTACATGCATTTGCGTATCTTTAGATCTAGATCTAGATCTAGATATATGACTAAACAAAAGTTTCACAGAACAACATGTACCCTTACCACATGTGATTCACTCTTCTAGTTGTTCATTCATTTTGTTAAATGCTGGTTGCAACCCACTACATTGATTTTAAACCTTGCCATTAGTTATGACCTATAGTATTCTCTGATAAGCCCTGTATAGAATGGGCTTAAGACCCTCAGAAGCCCTAAATCCTAAAAAGATGACAGGTGAAAGGCCATACATGGTCTGTTTACAGAGTGCAGGTCAAGTGTATCATCCTGATTTGTAGACTATAATTAAGAACCACAGATTTGAGGAATGGGCAGAGGAAGTGAGGTCAGCAATGAATGGTTTCAGAAATAGAAGGGAAACCAGGAGAGAGTGATCATGGAGACCAAGAGAGGAAGGAGAATTTCAGAAATGAGGACTTGGCCCACAGTGTCTTTTGCCACCCAGAGTTCAAAGAGATCACTGAATTTGGCAATTAGGAGGTTATTGGTGACCTTTGGTAGTGCCCTTTCACTAAGAGGATGGGCTGGGGCCAAATTGCAGTAGGTTGAGCTGCGATTGGTAAGTTGGGTAAAGTGACAGTTTAGAGTTTAGACTCTACTTTCAACAAATTTGAGGGTAAAGTAAAGAAAAGAGACAGGGAAGGAGGGAGCAGTAAGAGAGAGAAAGATAGCAAGTTAGGTAAGCAAGTGAACACATCTTAGGAGGAAGGAGGCTCATTCTGGGAAATAACAGAAACAGGCATTTTATAGTCAGAAGAGAGAGAGAGAACTAGTATAAAGAAGCTGAACTTTTCTGAATAGAAGGGGCATAACATTTTAAAGGAAGGGCCCAGAGAAAGAGGGTGGATGAAGCCAAGGCCCAGGGGAAAGGGAGTAGCTTTTAATGAGAGAGGCACCTTGTCCCCTGAAAAGGGAGGGCTGGAAGGGAAGGAAGTCGGAAAGGCAGGCCAATTTTTAGGAGGTGGGGCATGGCACTGAGGTAATTCATGCTTGAAGGCCTCTGTTTTCTCAGGGAAGTAGGAGGAGAGGTTATTCTATGCAGGGAGAGGGGTGGGGCAGGAACATGGTAAGGAGCTGAAGACAGTTTGTAATATGACCCAGGGAAATATTTCTGCTGGAGCTGGGAACTTGACAAAGGAACTGCTCAAAAGTGGCTGAGGAGTACTGGGGTTCAGCTGAGGTTGATTGAGACTGTCTTCCCCTCTGCTGGTCTTGTGTCCCTCCCTAGGTTGTAAGCACCTTGAGGCAGTGTCTACAGCACTTTCCTCTTTCTATTCTACTCCCTGACTAGTTTATGTCCAGCATCATTTGCCCAGAAGAGGCACCAGCCCTCTTGGAAGGATTTGGCAAAGCAATCACTGATGAAACCCAGAAACACTGTTAGGGAAAACAGAGGTAGAATCATAATTACCCTGATAGGAAATTCTTCACTTTGGTTGTTCCAGACAACCAAACTGTCAGGCCTGCTGCTCAGGGCAGTAAAGGGTCTGGACAGCCTCAATCATGAAGGATTGTGGCTGAATGAACAAAAGTTCAAGGTGGGAAGTGGCATGGCTAACTCTGGTTGGAAATGATTCCTGGGATCAGTTGTAATGTTTGCCTCTTCCTTTCCCCTCTTCTCTTCTGCCTATTTTCAGAGGCCATAGCCACCTAAAGATCAAAGAGTTTCCAGGGTGTGACAATAGGTCTGTTTCTTCCTCACTTGCCATCTCTTCCAACCCAATTTCTTCAACCAGGCTTCTCTCAGCCTCCCTTCGCATTTGAATCAGTGATGAAGTTAAAGCAAATTATCATGATCTGAAGGTAAATTTAGCAAGAACCCTCAGAGACTAATAGAAACTTGGGCTCCCAGGCAGCGCTCATTTTCTCCCCAAAGATTTTCCTCTCCAGGATCCAGGATCCAGTCTGTATTTATATAGTTAAGGGACAGAGAGCTTACCCCATTTCAACACATGTAATAGATCTCTGTTTATTAAGGGCTGGCACAGCGCCAGGCCCTTGGGTTAGGTGGTGGCTGGGCTGTTAGGAAGTTTTCCTTTGATTGAGCCAAAAAGTGTCTCCCTGTAGCTTCCAACCCTGGGCCTCTGCTCTGTCCTTTGAAGTCACACAGAACAAGTGTAATCCCATTGCAGTCTAATCCTCAGATATTTGAAGATGGCTGCCATTTCCCAAAGAGTTTTCTCTCCTCTGTGGATAAGCATTTCTTTCTTTTTATTTTTATGTGTCATCACTTTTTATTATCCAAATAATATCAGGTCTTGTGGAACTTTTCAGAAAATTCAGAAAAGCATAAAGAAGGAAGTAAAGATCTACCATAATCTTACACCCAGAACCAACCACTGTTATAGTCTCCTTTCTTTAAACCAGTATTTTTTCCTGTAACTGTATATTCTACCCTTTTTTCTTACCAGAATGGAATCTTCCTCTGTTATTATTGTAAAGGCTTCTCTTTTTTTCACCCTTCAGTACATTAACATTTCCGCAATCTTTTACAAAGCCAGTTTTAATACAAAATTGTAAAACTGTTCAATGACTTATTTAACCAGTTTTCTAAAATGAGACATTTAGGTTGTTTCCAATTTTCCTTTGCTGTGATGAACACAGTGGGGCTGGAATTTGAAGTGAGCTGGAGGTAGGGGTATTGGTGAATGGAGTAAAGAGGTGCCCTCGAATCAAAATATTCATTCTATTTTTTATTTAATTAATTTATTAATATGTTTTTATTGATATTTTAGAAAGAGGAAGGGAGAGAGAGAGAGATAGAAACATCGATGTGAGAGAGAAACATCAATCGCTGCCTCCTTCATGTGCCCCACTGGGGATCTAGCCCTCAACCCAGGCATGTGCCCTGACTGGGAATCTAACGAGGACCTCTCAGTCCATGGGATGATGCTCAGTCCACTGAGCCACACCAGCTGGGCTATTGATCCTATTTTAGCATCTGATTTTTTTTCACTTTGTGGATAGTTATACTTCCTAGAACATGATTGTGTCTGCTTAATATTCGGTTGCAAGAACCAAATTAATTTACCCTAATTAATTTAACCAGTTTCTTATTATTGGATATTTGACATTGTTTATAAGTTTTCACCATTAAAAACCCAACTGTGATGACTATCCAAGAAGTTACATTCGTGCTGGTGCTGGACATGGAGGTCAGGAAGAATATTTTTGGGACTTCTAAAGCATAAGGAGTCTGCCAGTAGTTGTAACTAGAAGCTTTTGTCTAAAGCCCAGAAGACTGGCTAAGGTCAAAGACAGTGCTCAAGCCTCTGGGCTTGCCCCGGGTTAGTACCCATTTACCCAGCCCCCGTCACAGAGTGTTCAGGTTGCAGGCCCTTTTGGGACCACTGGCTCATAACCTCTTCTCACATGTGAGGGAAGTGAAAGCCATGGGACCAGGGATAGTCCTTCATCAGCTTAGCAGCTGGGCAAAACTCTGCCTCCCCCAGCACCCCAGCTCCTGGAATGGAAGCTGAGCTCCAAGATTTGGAATCTGACTTGGAAGCCTTGACAATGCTGCCTGCATTCCTTTACAGAACCACTTACTGCTGTGGTTGGAAAGGGGTTCTGGCACTTTTGCAAATGAACTGACCAGTCAATGGGAGGGTGTGGAAAGATAACTTGAAGTTTAGCCCATAGACAACTATACCTGCTCTACCCAGAACCTCCTTTTCCCCTAACGCAGATGGTATGCTTAATGACAGTCACCCTATATCAGGTCCACCTAATAAATATATTTGGGATTTGAGCTGAAGTAACGGGTTACTTCCTCACTCTCCTTAGCCAAGCCATCTGTCTTTGTTGAGAAGGAGCTGTGCTAAAGGTTTGTCTGTCCAGCCCTTTGTGCCTGGCAACTTTCTGTGGTTTCAGGTACTAATGAGCTTCCCATCATTCCCCCCTCTGGCTTTGTTACTGCCTGGGGTATTCGCACAAATGGTGTGTGATTTGCCCCTCCTGTGTTTTCCTTTCTGACTTGGAGGTAAAGATAACCTCTCACCCCCCACTGACTCTCTGTTTATTCAACTAGGAGAGATTTCACACCCAGGAACCCAGCTCTCCCTCCTTGAGTGCCTTTTTTAAATCTTCACACACCCCCAAGTCTCACACGTCTGTACTTCCCTGAATAATTTATGAGTCCAGGCAGGTCTTATAAAGGGTCTCCCAGGAAAGGCCAAGAGTACCGCAGGTTCTTAGAAATAGGGGCCCTCACAGCCTGCCTGTTCTTGACACCTTAAGGATGGATCCTTCTCCCACTGCTGCTGCTGCTGTCTCAGCCCTGGCCCTAAGCATAGCTCCAGCTCTAGCACAGGCCCCTCTGGTACTCCCTGGCCTGTTCAATCCATCGCCCCTTCCTTTCCCTGGACAAGAAGTAGGTAGGAGTGAAAGGTAAGTGGAACTTGGCCTTTGGCAATCTGAACTCTGGCTTAGTGGGTTTCCTGGGGAAGGAAGGAAAATGAGATGTCCAAGGTGTCCCTATTCTCGGTGAAGGAAAAAAAGGCAAAAGCCTCATAGCCCTGAGAAACTGTCCCCTCCACATCTCGGGCTGGAATATCTCAACTGACTGTCCACCTTACTAATCTCTCTGGGTGACAGGAGGGGACTTAGGGACAGTGGGCATTGCCAAAGCTGAAAACTGAGCAGCCAGACCCTTATGGGCAAAGTTGCTCAGTCTACTGAGGGGCACATGGGAGAATGGCATGAAACCTGGGTTTAACATGAGCTAGGCTGCAGAGGTGGGAAAAGGGGCCAAAGTCCCAAAAGGCCTTTGACTGGGGAGACTGTCTGTTTCCTGACCACACTATAAGATTTCCCTTTTCTTTTCCCCTACTTCTGGAAGTCTAATGGGGAAGCAGTTGGCCCGGGAATATTTCTGGACCCTTTCCCCAGTGCAGGAAGATGGGAGGACTCTGACCTCTGCTTCTTGGAGCAAGAGGTAGGGGGGTAAGATATTCACCACTTAACCCTCATTCATTCCTCCAAACATTTAAGGAGTTCAACAAATATTTACTGAAATGCTTACTGTGTACCAGGCATTGTGGTAAGTATTGGGGATTCAGATATGATCAAACATAAATCTGCCCTTAAAAAGTTCAAAGGCAAGTAAATAGACAATTACAAAACTGTGATAAGAGCAATGATAACATTGTTGAAGCAGAGAGGAGGGGCATCTATCCTGACCTGGGCTCAGGGGCCTTAGGAAAGGCTTCCTGAAGTAGATGGCATCCCAGCCAAGTGTTTTTGGAGGCCTCTTTGTGATCTCAGAGAGTCCACGTTTGAGTCTCTTTCCTTCACTGATGGATCTCTTCTCTATGTCCTAGAGGGGCTTGCCTTTGGAGACCCTGGCTGTGCTTTACAAGTGATTCCCCAAGGCAGGTGAGGAAACTTGTGGATTTGGTGAGTATGAGCCCATTACATATGTTCACACATAGCCACATGCATTCACGCTGACCAGGTACCTTCCCAGAGAACTCCTGACCTCAGTCCAGGTCTGCAGATCTGGGAAATCATCTTCACAGCCATGTTCACATTTGATTCTCACAAAAGCTCTAGGAGGAGGCCAGACCTGAGGTTTCTGTGCAATTTAAAGATAAAGACACTGAAGCCCAGAGTAGGGGAGGGTAGGAGCAGGCCCCAAAGCTAGGTTATGGTAGAGCTGCTGCTAGAATCCTGGTCTCCTGGCATCTAACCCCAGTGTTTTTCCCCCACCTCTATCCCCACCCCCAACCACAAATCTTTGTTGCTCCAGTAGAACTCTGTCCCCTGGACAGTCTCCAAACAGGTGTTAGAACAGGGGCAGGAAAGTTAACAAACCCCAGGACTCTGCCCACTTGTTTTTCAACCACAACCAGGACAGACCCCTTTGTTGGAGGTGGGAGTAGGGACTCGACCCCAGAGCTGTCAAAGGTCTCTTTCTGTATCATCTTACTTGCAAGTTTCTGACCCATGATACAGAGGAGTCAGTTATCTGGCCATGTACTTTGAGTCACATGCTAGCTTTTGTTTTCAACAGGCCACTTCTGGGGCAACAAGTGCCAAGGTCACCAAAGCTGACTCTAAGTTCCATCACCCCGTCAGGTAAGCTTCTGGCACCAAGCTCAGAACTTGACATAGGTTCATTAGCTCTTTAAATCCTCACAACAGTCCTGTGTTAACATGAGGATAGAGGCACTGCTATGATCACTATTTCATAGACCAGAAAACTGAAGCCCAGAGAGGTTAGGGACTTTGTCAAGGTTGGCTTCCCTGGGGGCATTGTCAATGACAACTAAGAATGAGCCTTTATGGATAGGTCATTGAAAGAAGCCTTAGTAGGAGATAGAGGACACAGAAGAAATCTACAGAATTCTTGGCTAGAGGCCTTCTGAGGTGGGGGTGAGATCAGTGTCAGAATTAATAGATGCTAGGGTTGGGGGTCCCCAAAGTTATAGACCCACCATGTATTACCTTCCTTTCTGCGGTCATTTTGTAACCATTCAGAAAATTCTGTTACATAGCTCTCTTTTTTCCTTTCTCTCTCACACTATTATTATAGGTAGGACAAGGAGTTTAGGTTCTGGCTTCCTCTGTGGTCCTACTGATCCCTTTGCACATATGAGACCTCTCAAAGTTAGGGGCCATATTTCTTCTCTGTTACACAGGCTCTTCTGGTCCAAATCTTGCTCCTTTGACTACCTATACAGTTATGGGGAGATTTTACTGCAAAGCTTCCCTGTCCAGGCAACCATCAATCTGTATGAAGACTCAGACAGCGAAGAGGAAGAGGAAGATGGTGAAGAAGACAAGGAGGACGAAGAAGAGGAGAAATAGGAGGCAGATAAAAAGGGGTCAGAAGTGTGCGTGACGATACTAGGGTCAACACCACACATAGTCACAAGTCTTCCTCCTTCCCCATGCCTGACCTGTCCAAACTGAGCCAGAATCTGATTAGGGTTCTGTATGCCTGGCAAGGCTCCAGGGCATCGATTAGCTAGGAATCTCCAGGCACAGCTCTCTGGATTGAAAGTTGGGTCCTCCAGTCACTAGCTTACCCTGGCTATAACTATCTGGGCTGTAAGCCCAGGCCTCTGGCATCCCATTGCCTGGATTGCTGTTGTGTTGACGGTGGGAGGTTTCTAGGAGCTCTAGGGAAAAAACTATCTGCTTTCTGAAGCCCCTAGGAAGCAGATGTGGATAAAGCATGCCCATGAAGAGGGAAACAGTCACTCTTCATGGCTCTTTGACTCTCCAGCCTTCTAGGTGGCCACATACTACTGTCTCTGTGGGAAAAAACTGACTTCAGGCTTCACCTCCAAGGATACCAACACCAGATCCAAACAGAGTTGGAATGCTTTTCTGATGGGTTTTGCAGCAACCGAAGGGACCATCCAGAGAATGAGCTTGCTTGGGGGACCTCCCCTCATGTTGGCTGTTATCCACTGGAATCTCTATTGGCATGAGATGAATCAGGAGAAAAATAAACTAGATAATGTTTGCCTTTCTTCTGTAACTGTGCTGATTTCTTAACTGAACTCTGTTTGTGTTGTGAAGCCATGGGCACAGGGTCGGGGACCAGCTCAAGGCCAATTCATTGCTCTATCTGAGGTCAGTTTACAGATGGGGATGTAGGGTCAGGGGCCTAGTACAGGGCCAGGCCCTCTCTGTAAACTTGTGAAATCAGGCTACATTACACTTCAAAGACAAAATGGAAAGGGGGCCAAAAGACCCCCAAAGTGTGGCTTGAAAATTGGGAGTAGGACTGTGGGTTGGGGTGAAGGGGTGAGAAGTGCAGCCTTAGTTCAGCCTTGGAGATGAGTGTGTGCTTATGGAGAGGAGAGCTTGGGGGGCTACTCAATCAAATCAATTTTACTTACACAGTTCAGGCTTTCATACTTTACCTTGACCCCAAATACTTGTCAACTAATTTTCATGCCTCGAGAACATTCCTCTGCAATTCCTCCTCCACAGTGGCCACCAGATCAGGTCATGTTGAGCCCCAACAGTTGAAAACTTAACTTTTTTAAAAAAACCACAGATCCTCCTGAGAATCTGTGGCTTCTCTACTTATATATTCACAAATCAAGCCCTAAACTTGATATTCCAAGCTGTCCAATTGTTTGGTTGTTGACTGTTTCTCTTTTTAAAATTTTTATATTTTTAAAATATAGTTGACATACAATATTATATTAGTTTCAGGTGTACAAAATAGTGATTTCACATTTATCAACCTTTCGATGTGATCACCACAATAAATGTAGTACCCATCTGACACCATACAAAGTTATCACAATATTATTGCCTATTTTCCATATGCTATAAACCATATACTGTGATTTATTTTATAACTGGAAATTTGTATCTCTTATTCACCTTCACTTCCCTGTCTCTTCAGACTCATCTCTCAATGCTTGAAGCCTACGCTGCCTGTCCTTGAATGTGTCATGCTTTCTATCACCTCTGTAGCTTTCTCTGTGTGGAATGTTTCTTCACTTTTACATGTCTTATAAACTCCCATTCAATCAATAAGACTAGTTCAGACACCTCTCCTGTGAGAAGTCTCCCAGACCCCAAAGTCCAGATTGGGTGCCTCCATTACATTCAGTGTCTCCCATACCATAGCATCTGCCCCCTTCTTATGCAGTAAGATAGGGCTGTGTTTGATATCTCCACATGATTTCATTGCACAGCACACTGCCTGACACAAAGCAGGCACTCACATGTTAAAGAAAAAAAATTCTAAGGTCTTCTTAAAGCAGTTCTTGGCAGAACCATCTCTGTCCCTTCACTTGCTGGCTTTCCATTTCTTTGCTTAGCTACAAACAGGACAGAGTAACATCGTCTGTTTCAAGAACAAAATGCTGGCCATCTTTCTTTCCCTCTTTGATCAACTTGTGACAGGCTGCTTCAGTTCTGAGCCCTGCTGGGACTTCCCTGAATTGGACCAAGCCTTGAGCAGATAACCAAATTCACACACTGGTGCCATCTATTGGTCAAAATTTAACCTTGTTCCTTAATACTGCCAGGCAGTTGACTTTTGACCACTATAATCCCTTTAGTACATTATTTTCCCCCCTATATTCTCCCTCTTTTTTCAAATGTATATGTTTTTTGTTTTGTTTTGGTTAAGCCTCACCCAAGGATATTTTTACATTGATTTTTTGATAGAGTGGAAGGGGGTGTGGGGAGAGAGAGAGAGAGATGGATGTGAGAGAAACACAATGCTTGGTTGCCTCCCACACAACCCTAACTGGGGCCAGGGATCAAACGTGCAACCCAGGTATGTGCCCTTGCCTGGGAATCAAACCTGTGACTCTTAGGTCCATAGGCTGATACTCTAACCACTGAGCCAAACTAGCCAGGGCTAGCGCTCTCTCTCTCTCTCTCTCTCTCTATATATATATATATATATATATATATATATATGTATATATTTAGTGTTGACAGTATTACACATGTCCCCCATTTCTTCCCCTTTACCACCCTCTACCAGCCACTACCAACCCCCCACCCCTCCACCATAGGTCTTCACTGCACTACTTTCTGTGTCCATGGGCTATGCATATAAGTATATGCATTCTTTGGTTTATCTCTTCTCGGCACCCCCCTCCCCCCAGAGATATGTCAATCTGTTCTGAGATATGCCTCCATGCCTTGGCACTTATTTCGTTGGTCAATTCATTTCATTCATTAGATTCTACAAATAAGAGAGATCATGTGATATTTGTCTTTCTCTGACTGGTTTATTTCTCTGACTTAGTATAATACTCTGCAGGTCCCTACATGCTGTCTCAAGGGTAAGATATACTATTTTATTTTTTACAGCTGCATAGTATTTCACTGTGTAAATCTACTACAGCTTTCTTATCCACTCATGTACTGATGGGTACTTGGGCTGTTTCCAAATTTTAGCCATTGTAAATAACATAGGGGTGCACATATTCTTTGTGATTTGTGTTTCGGGGTTTTTAGGATATATTCCCAGAAGTGGGATCACTGGATCAAATGGTAGTTTCATTTTTAACTTTTTCAGGAAACTCCATACTGTTTTCTGTAGTGGCTGCACCAGTCTGCATTCCCACCATCAGTGTGCCAGAGTCCCCTTTTCTCCACATCCTCACCAGCATTTGTTGTTTGTTGATTTACTGATGATAGCCATTCTGACAGGTGTGAGGTGATGTCTCATGGTGGTTTTAATTTACATTTTCTGATTAGTGACGAGCATTATTTTATATGTCTAAAAGACCTTTAGTCCATTTTGTTTATGTTTGTAAGTAAAGTGGAATCTACCACATGCTAGCTGTATCACCTTGGGCAAGTTACTTATCTGCTCTGAGCCACAGTCTCTTCATCTATAAAATGGGGAAAATAATGATACTTTCTCTGAGGGTTGGTGTGGGGATTCAATGAAATAATATATGTAAAGTACTTAACACAGACCCCAGCACGTAGTTAAAGCACTAAATAAGTGGTTGTAGCCATAGTAATCATAGCTGTAGTAGTGATTTTATTACTTTTATAACAGAAATTAGTTTATAGGCTCAAGTCAGCTAATGACTGGTTTACTCAACTGATCGATTTGTCAGTCATCTCTACCTGATTTCCCTGGCACCATTTGATGGCTTACCAGTCAATGCATCTTTGCAGTGTTTTTCCCTAATTTAAAAAGGAAACAGAAAACAGAGACCAAATGTGACTTCTTGGGACAGAGGTTTCAAAACTTACGTTTTGTGCTTTAGCAGGGACACACTTCTTCTGAATTGAATGTAGAATCCCCATATGCAAACCAGAGCTGGAGCTGTCCTGGTGGAAATCACAATGTGGGACACAGAATTCCCACCATGTTGTCCTCTCTCTTGTAAATGAAGTCTCTCTACCCCTTTTTTTGAGGCACCTGCCAGGGATCCCTAGATTATGGGGAAGACTATTTGGAATCCACTGTTCTAAGGGTTAAAATAAGATTGATCTGAATTCTAGTGGGGATTAGAATTTTAACATGTTCAGTGTTCCATTTAAAATCCTTGTTTTGGGTTCTAAGCTCCCAGCATTTCATAGTTAAAAAACTGTTTTAGTCCTCCTCTGCACACATTGTTGCTAAGTAATTGGAATTCACTATTCTGACTAATCAGAGTCCAGTGTGAATTACTTTGTGCTGGGTGTATCCAGTCCTTATAAGAACTTCAAAACCAGTGTATAAACTCAGGAGAAAAATCTCTGTGCAAAACTTAGAGTCCTTCCTCCAGTTCCACCCTAGCTGGTCCATCCTAGTGTGCCATACTTCACACCCCAGCACTTATGCCTCCTGTTCTCCTCCATCCCATAGTAACAGAGAGAGGGCACATCTTTTGAGCATGAAGCTGCATTTGAGCTGGACCTTGAAAGCTGGGCCCAGCTAGAGAAGGAGGGAGAAAACTTTTCAAAAAGAAGCAGCAATATAAATTATTTTATTAAACAAATATTTATTGGGCAACTACTCTGTGCCAGGCATTGATATTGTAATGATTAAGAGTATGGGCTTTAGAGGCAGAAGCACCTAGCTTCAAATCCCATATCTGCCACCTGCTGGTTCTATCCAACGGCCCACTCCCCTCAGGTGTCAAGGTCAGCTCTCTGCTCTCAACTCTCTCACTATCAGCTCTGTATTCCCTTATTATATAACACACACACACACACACACACACACACACACACACACACACACACCCCACATACTCATTATATGCTGCCTATTCTCCTCTATCTCTGAGCAAAGAAAGCTCCCTCACCTACCCCAGTGGGTGTTACCAACCCTTACCTTTCATTCCTGCCCCCAACTGTGCCTAGGCTGTTGTCTA